AAGATTACACAATGTCTATCTAAACGTAAAATTAAAATTAATTTAAACTGTTGTAAAAACAGAAAAGAAAAAAGAGTAAAACAAAAACCTTCACAATAACAAAAGACGACATAGTGGAATTCGTAAAGTACTTGGCGTCGGTTTCAACACCACCGGCAATGGTTTGACCTTGACACACAATAAAATCACACCTTAACAATAGAAAATTGGACATCATTATTTGTTCACGCAGTTTTCGCCATATTTTTTGGTATTTACACATGTACATGTCATAGAGATTTGACTTCGTAAGTCAATGATACTTTAAATTGTGTGAAATTATTTATGTTGGTAGTTACGATAAAACCGTAGAAAAATTGTAGTAATAAAATGTATAATAAAATAGTAAACAGAGGCTTATTAAATGAGAAAAATTAGAGCTATGGGTAATGGAAAGCAGTTAGAGTACGCATTTGAAGAAAATGTCCTCATATGGATAGATTGTACAGTGTAGGCAATTGCCACTCCACTCTAGTCCTACTCCACTCTGATTTGCTCGAATAATTACTTGAAGGTCGGACTCGCTCCTGTAACTTGAATTGTCTGTTGGAAGTCCGAGCCCTCTCGCTTCTGTTACTTGTTGGGAGTCCGTACCCTCTAATACAAGAAAAAGAAGATTTATTATTAATTTTCAATTATTTTTTTTTGTATAAGAATCCTAAATACGGTAAAACAATCACTTTATAACCAGTTATGTCCAACGTTTAAACATGTATGAGATTAAACCTGGTGACTAGTGGGACTTGTTAAACTGATGTTCGTTATTTAATAATCTGTTTTGTCCACAGAATTTAATTCGTAACAAAAATTTAACTCCTGTAACCAAAAATATTCTTAAATAATTTGGTAATTTTAGATAGTCACCATTTCGTTCGTAATTATTTTAGTTCAGTTTTATTTTATAATAAAAATAAATATTCACGACCGAATCAATAATTTAAATAAGTACCTGTATTCAAAGTAAAAAGCTGAAGCTTTATATACTCGTACGCACCTATGGACTTAATCCAAATTTTAACTTCGGATGAGTGCAAATGGAATGACTTTTAGGATAAATTTAATTATTCATTTTGTCCTTTACTAAGGTCCGTGTGGTGAAGGATTAAGAATACGGAGTGTCACCACCTCTATTCATCCGGTGGGTGTCAACAGCACTGCAAAGAGAAGGAAAACTTAAAACAAACCCTATACCAACCCGTCTGGCCAGACAGACTATATAGAAGGCCAAAACCTCCTTTCTAAGAAGAGGCTTATGTCCAGCAGTGGACTATTAAAGGCTGTTGATGATGATGATGATGAAGAAGAGGCCTATGTCCAGTAGGGGACTGTTAAAGGCTGTTGATGAAGGTTTATCTTCTTATCTTAAAAGAAATAGCAAATACTATTATCTTTGCATTATAACATTTAGATATAACAGTTAATTAATAATATTTATTAGTTTCGTTTGCTTTCTGGATATAATAACAAATACTTATACTTAACGGTAATAAATCGTCACCAACATTGTTACATTATTTGCATTTTATGTCCTTGACATTTAAAATTGTTTTACTGGTATCATCAAATTGTATAATACTCTATAGCTTTCGTCATTTAGTGGATTTTATAACAAGTATTTTACGTTTGTTCTATTTTTTTTTCAAATTTAACCTATATTAATAAATCGCATGTTGAGGGTGCTCGCGGGTTATAAAAGAAATCAATGACATAAAATAAAAAAAACGTTTAATTAAATGACACCTCACAATTTAAATTTCTGTAGTATTAAGAACTACAGAAATTTGAGATTCTACTAGTTACCAGCTATTGTGGATGCTGTCTTTTCGACTTAATCTTCTTAACTTTAGAATGTCTTGTGGGTCCTTGTATTATAACCTATAGTTATGATATATAATAGGGTCTGCTAGCGATACTAATAATGCAGGATGCCTGATGAAGGCATCTCTGATCAATATATACTTCGAACGAAGGCTACATTGTCATTATCGTAAAACTAATCACGCAGTTATCTATATTTCATTAAATATTATAAAAAATATAACATTTGTATCGAATATCGTATATGTAACGAATTTTAGTAGACTTACTTTGCTACTCGTTTTGGTCTTAGATACTTTAAGATATAAATTGAATAACGTAAATGTTATGATTAGAGAATTCATAGAAACAGTACGCGGCCTGAATACTTACCCCCTGTGCTTATTAACTAACATATTACGAAAAAGAGATTAACAGGTAGGTATAGATTTTTAGAAAGAAATAGTAATAATAATATCCTAAAAGGTATATCACTTTCTGAAAAACTTCAAGAAGCTCCGTAAACTAAAGTCAGTTCCATAGGATCTATTATTAATAAGTCAAGGTAGGTTATTGTCAGTGGCGAAGAAATTTTTGAAATAAATTATTTTTGTAACTACTAAACTCGATTCTGTTAAAGTTCACTTGAAGAGGACCTTATTTATATGACTATGAAGGTCTTTAAAGCTCCAGGATAAACGTTGTAAGGGCTTTTAAGCACTAACGACCACTTACAACTTGCAAACGAAATTGATGCTTGGGTGCTTGTTGTATGCTGGTTTACCTTGAGTGTTTAAAAAGCCAAAATTACACGGAAAACTTTTCCTTTGAAGCAAAAATTATTGAATTAGAATGAACTATTTCCGCATTTAAATGGATACTTTGACAGTCTCTTTTATGTATTTCAAGTTACTTTTCTCAATTTCAAAGCAAAAGACGAAATTTTCTTTGGCCTCTCTTTTATTGGTGATTCACTATGAATCACCAATAATAGTTAGGTATGCCAAGAAATATAAAAAAGCTTGCTATTCTTTCTGTATGAGAGATATGATCTTATGATATTTCTTTCTTCACACATCCGTGATCATTTAACTCGATTCCTGACTCAAGATCTATCGATTGACTGTGCAAGTGGTAGCGAATGCGACTGTTGTCTTGGGTTCGGTTCCCGATTAAATTATTTTATCTTTGTCTCATAATCGTCAAAACATACAAAGTAATCAATGCCTGTAAACTGCTATTGATTTTTAATAAGGTGGAATTCTAGAACCAAACCAGAATCTATGAGCAACATCTAAAGGTCAATTTCCAAAAAAAATATACTTGCAACACAAACTTGCACCACACTCAAACATGCAGACAATATCTGATTCACACAGTTTCATCACATCTAAATGTAGCTTATGGCTTAATGTCCAACAAAAAGCAACACAATAAATTAGAGTTAAGACACTTTGTCATAAAAGAACCATTGAAATAAGGTTATCAGAAACAGCATTAACTGCTTGTCTCAGTAACGAAAATGTATCATATTTTCTTATAGTGGCAAGGTGAGTGTAAACTTTCATGATGATGAGATAAACAAAACGACTAAAGAAACATTTACATCAATGTTTCTTTAGTCGTTTTGTTTATCTCCTCTCCTATTTTGAATAAAGTATTTTGAAGCGATTTTTTTTAATTTTCAATACAAACATGAAGTTGCATTCTGTCCCATATTTGAGTAGTAAATATAACATAATGTACCATGTGTTACAGAAAGCTTTAGTTTAAGTATCGTTAAAAGTTTTCATTAAATTAGTCTCCACAAAACCAGAAGCAGAGAAAGAGCACTATAATTTGTTCTAAGGAGTTAGAAATATAATAAATTCACTTAGAAAGCGAAAAATTAAAGCAAAATGGAGGACCAAATTTAGCAAAAATAGGCATACATCCTTTAAACAGGGAAGCACGAGAGACACAAAATATTATGGATACTAAGTGACCTTTCAAAAATATTAATAATAACTTCACACATCTCACACAGGGCCGTCTGATCCCAAACTAGGCAGAGCCTGTGCTATGGTAACCAGACTGCTGATAAACATACTTATATATTTTTAAATACATACATATTATAGATAAATTACACCCAGACACAGAACAAATGACCGTGCTCATCACACAATATTTGTCCTGGGTGGGAATTTGACCTACTTAATTTTCTTAAAAAATATAACCGTGAACCCACCTGACCAAGAACGACAGGGGATGATTGCTGATTAAGAAGTTTATTTACCTTGAACTGTGAGAATTGTTGCATTTTTTATTAAAAGAAATCGTTTATGAATTATGTATTTGGGTAAGTGTTGTATAAATTTTACTATTTTGGAAGTAAGTAAAAGTTGCAATTTGTTTACATATTACACTGCAACTTTATTCGAAAAACACATTACATTTGGTACACAATGTGACATGTGTGTGTAAAATTAACCTAGTGTAATAAAATACAGAAGTAATATGATAAGTACCTATTTTGCAAGCAATGTATTGCAATGCAATTTCATAAACAAGTTATTGTGTGAAGCCGGCGTTATTTATCTCTAAGCTCTATTCGAAACTCACAAAAGTATTTAACTGATTGCAATTAATAAATTGCAACACATTGTTATTAAAATTCCACATTGCGACATGCAATTATTGCGATACAAACTAGGCTAATTTTGACATTCTCATTATGTCACTCCTATGACAACAAACAGCAATAATGGCCGATGAATAATTAATTTACTTAAAAAATGTTCAAATAAAATTATTTGCATATCAATGATTTCGGAATGTGAAGGTCACATACGTTATATAATCGATTTCAAGAATGTATGGTAATTCAAATCTAAATAAACTTTTATTTTACTACTATTAGATAAATGGAGAAACATTAAAGTCCTATCATTATTTACCCTTACATTATTACCATTCATAAGTAGATAGAAAAAAAAAATGTAACTGGCATTTAGCTTGAATAAGACGAACATAAAAATTAACAAAAACAAATAATTCATATTTTACACAAAAATATACAGAGTAGGTTAATAATATCTTTTATATTCTTTGTAAATTTAAATTGGGCATTATTATTTATTTTACATTTAAACGTGAAAAATATTAATTTGAAATAAACTTACGTATAGCGGTAACCGCATTGTTGCTTTCCGCAGCTTCACCATTATGGCATATAACAGTCAAACATAACAAAAGCAGTGACAAAATGCAACGATCAGCCATTTTCATTTTTGTACAAATAATTTTCAATATTACCAATAAAATTTAATAGAATAACGATTTACAACTTTTGTGTTAGGTTCAAATTCTTTTTTATTTTATAAATTTAGTTCATTTTTCACTCAACGTTCAGTCACTAGAATTTTTAATTTCGAATTTCGTATTATTATTTTTATTATTGTGCGTTCGTATTTTTAAATTTGCCCGCGTCCGTTGTTCGACGGTTTTACACGGCAATAGGCTCGCGGTCGCACGTTGGGCGGACGGACGGGTGTCTCATTTTGTTTGAAGTGAAAGCAAGGAGCTATGTGTTTTATTAGCTCATGATTTTCGACATCCCTCTGTAGAATCCCCACCGCTTTCGGACTATTTGCTAAATATGTTTATAAGGACGAAGAATAAGTTGGGATTTCGTTCGTTTCTTATGGTGTATGAGTTATTTAATGAGGAATAATTACGTATGTCATTGCACGCGTGTGCTGGAACAAAGAGGACACGTCTTAGCTAATATTATATTTTCTGTTTCCTATACACTTTGTCATGCCCTAAAAGTACAACGGCACATTGACGTATGTCATTTATTATTCTAATGGGCGATTGTTGAAGAGTTATTGAGGATATTTATCAGGAAATCTACAGCGATTTTCATTTACATATAAAACATCACAATAATAGGTACCTGTCCTTAAGAAAGTAAATCTGTATTCCATATAGTAAAGGTTCTATATAATTACTAGCTGACCCGGCAATTTTATTTTGTCATCTACATTATTTCAAAATCAAAAAAATAATAATTAGGTGTATGAAAAATAGATGTTGGCCGATTCTCAGACCTACCCGATATGCACACAAAATTTCACGAAAATCGGTTGAGCCGTTTCGGAGGAGTTAAACCACGCACACCGTGACACGAGAATTTTATATATTAGATAATATCACAAATAAATACATAATTCTATACAAATAAATAAAATTGAAGTTTTTTCATGCTCATTTTGTGCTTAAAAACCAGTTTAAATATTTTTGTCTGTCGGTTTGTCTGTCTGTCTGTTCCGGGTAATCTTCAAAACTGCTGGACTGATTTTGACCATATTTTACTACCATGTAGCTCTCTATATAAGGAGTAACTCAGGCATTTCTTTTCTAGAAAACCCCTATAAAATTTGGCCAGTCCGGGAATCGAACAAACTAAGGCGCGGGCACCAGCTAGTTCTTTTATCACTAGATGATTATGTTTCCTAGTATTTCTATATAACTTGAAAATATAGAGAAGCCATAAAAAACAAATGATTAAGATACAAAGGAATGGATTTTCGAACTGATTTCACAGGTGCGTAACCATGACCTTCGTTTTACGTAACCGTATATACTATACGTAACTATTGCGATTGCCTCAGATTTTCTTTAAAATAAATATATACTTAGTGAAGTAAAGTAAAATATTTGAATGTTAAAATATATTCTAATTAATTTGAGTACAAAAAAGTATTGAAATAATTCAATGCTTGAGTTATATACATAGCTGGGTATATTTTTCTTAGCAAATGTAATGTAAATAAAAACCTTGTACTGCATATTAAACCAGTGCAAATTGTTTTAGTAAAATAAGACAAATAATAAACATGATTATAACCCCAAGAAGCACAGTTGGAAACGGGGTACAACATATCACTAAAAGAAAAAATAAAGAAGTTTAATTAAAACAGTACGAACTCATTTTTATTGAATGGAAATTCAAAAAAAAATTAGATTTTTTTATTTTGCTAGTTGTTGCTTTCAAAATAAAAAGGCCATTTTTTAAAGTGGAACTTCTTTAGAATCATGGTGATTTGAAACTCGATGAAACGAAAATGCGTCACGTAAACGTAAAGAACGTAACGTAACGTAAAGAGAAAAAAAACACTATAATAAATGTTAAGAGATTAAGAAATGAGATAGAATACATTACACATTATTTTTAATATAAAATTTTGACAGTGTAAATACTCTTCGGGCACGCCGTCATCGCGGCGGTAAGACCCGTTATGGAGGATTGGCTCGAGAGGCGTCACGGGACCCTCTCATACCGATTGACGCAGGTGATCACTGGGAAGGGATGTTTCGGGGATCACCTGTGTCTGATCCGCAAGGAGCCAACGCCTGAGTGCCACCACTGCGATGGCCAGACCGTGGACACGGCTCTCCACACGCTGGCAGAGTTCCTGGCGTTGAGCAGAGGCGAGACCTCGTGGCGGCCATCGGAGTGGGAGTTCTCTCGCTCGATAGCCTGATTGCGGCTATCGTGCGGAGCGAGAGTGCGTGGAACTCTGCCGTCTCCTTCTGCGAGCAAATTATGATCGCGAAGGAGGCGGCGGAGCGGGACCGGGAGAGGTTTAGGACTCTCCCGGCCCGCCAGGGCCAGGTACCGCAGGCGACTCAGGCGCCGGAGGTCACAGAACGACCTCCGTCCTCCATAAGCGCAGGCCTGAGGGTGACAGGTGAGGCCATCTGTCACCCTAGCAGAAGCAGGCCGGGGTGGCGGCGAGCGCGTTGCGAAGCGCGCTCGCTTCCAGGGAGCACAGGGAACATGGGGTTCCCACACGGGGGGGGGGGGGTCGTCTACTCGTCTGTAGATGACCCGAGGTATATCGGGGCACCAGGGACTTCCTTTCTAGGGTATACCTGGTTCCCCGGCTATTAGTACCCGAGACGGCGTGCGGTTTTAGTCGGTTCTAGTCCGACATGCCACCGACGGGTGGTATCCGAGGGGATTTCCGCACGGAAAAAAAAAAAAAAAAAAAAGAAGTGTAAATACTCTTATCTTTTTATTTAATACTAGTTAGGTAGCTTCGCGAATTTAAAAGACTCTGCTTTAGTGGGTTCCATTCCCGGGCCGGGCAAAATTTTATAGGGTTCATCTGAGGTAAAAATTTTTTTTTTTACGTCACTCCACCGCGGTTTGCGGCTACCGGCCTTGGAGCGTATGACGGCCGGTAGCGAGAGGTCCCCTCCGATGATTGCAATGAGGACCCGGCGCTGCGACGCCCAAGCCGGGCAAATTCAACTCACTGCAATCGCAGTGGTGGCAGGCAGGACTCAATTCCCTAATTGCGACTGAGTGCAGGTACTTCCCGAAGCAGCCGTGCCCGGAAAGGACCTGCGCCTCCACGGCGGCAAAGCCAGCCCGTGGAACCTCCAGCCGGGACGACCAACGAGCCATCGTGGCTCGGCAAGCGGCCTCGCGCCACTCGCGTATCTCTTCGGGCGGGGGCCGACTGCCACTACCTGCCCGGAAATCAGCCGTCCGCCGATATACTTCGGCGAGCACTTCCGCCTCCGAATCCCACGAGGGAGTTCCGGCTAACGCACAAGCCACCTCCGTCAAAACGGTGCGGTAACCGCGTATGGCTCTAACCGCCAATATCCTCTGAGGGGTCAGCCAGAGGGGAGCCCTATTCTGGGCGGTCAGAGTTACCGCCCATACCGGTGCACCGTACAGTGCCATTGACCGGACAACCCCCGTGTACAATCGTCTTGTCGCGACGCTGGGTCCACCCAAATGGGTTAAAGTCGCCCTAGGGCAGACGCAGCGCCGGCCAGCTTTGTAGCAAGCTGTCGGAAGTGCTCGTAGAAGAGCAACCTCCCGTCGAGGATCAGACCCAGATACTTCATCTGGGCTCGAACCGTTACGAGGACCGAGTTGACCACGATTGAGGCGCCAGGGGGTGGACCACGACGGGGCCCATGGAACAAGAGGGCCTCCGTCTTATCCAAGGCCATCCGCAAGCCTAGCATAAACCCTAGACAACCCTGTCTGGCTAGCGTGGCATAATAGGCCAAAATCTCCTTTCTAAGGAGACCCCTGTGTCCAGCAGTGGACTAGTAAAGGCGGTTGATATGATGATGGCGTTGTTATCTTTGTATTTGGACTTACGATTGCAGAAAACCATGGGAGAGCCACGCTTCGGCACATATGGATCGGCACAATTGAAATGATACAGTTAACAATTTCGTTGTTGCTTTTAACCAAGTACCATTATACCATTTCTTACTAAACTTGACTGCCTTGGTGGTGCAGTGGTAGCGTAAGCGACTGTTGTGCTGATATTTTGGGTTCGATATCCGGATCAAAATCTTTGTATGTATGATCTGCAAATATTTGTTTTCTATGTACAAAATATATTTATTTACAAAGAAAAAGTATTCTATCAGTCAATCCAGCTAAGGCTCTGCTTACTTTGAATCTAGAATGCGTTGTGTCGCAGATGTCCAAAAACATTATTATTCGTATTTGTAAATGTTCTAAAATTATATAATCTAACTTGTCAGACGAGACCGACGTCGGTGTCTATCACACAGTTCATACCGTCACGGACATTGCCGTTAACTCTATCTTCAAAGCGCCATGTGCCAATTAATTTTATAACATTAGAATAGATTTAAAGATAGGTGACGTAGGTGTGAACTATGAAAGGCTTTTTGAAAATTCCACCCCTAAGGGTGCAAAATGCGGGTTGGAAATTTATACGTAACTTCGTTATTTTTGCTAGTAGCGTTTTCAAACTCACAGTAAATACTCTTTATTAAAAGTAATAAAAACGTTGTTCCTAATTTTTCAAGACTACCCTTAATAAAAAGGGATGCAAATTAGATGGGGAACTATATTTTCTTTTAACCTTACTCATCTCACACACGGCTGTCTGATCCCAAACTAGGCAGAGCCTGTACTATGGTTATGAGTCCGCTGATAAACATATTTAGTTACGTCTAAATATTTAAACATATTATTAGTATAGATTAATAGACACAGAACAAACGATCATGCTCATCACACAAATATTTGTCCTAGGTGGGGATCGAAATCAGGACCTCCGACATAGCAGTCAGGGTCACTAACCACTAGATCAACAGTGCCGTCCTACCATTTTTTTTCTGTGTGAAAATCCCCTCGGAAACCACCGTGATGGTTATGTCGGAATCGAACCAACTAATATCCGTACTTCGTTTCGGATACCAGTAACAGAAGAACCAGGTGTACCCTAGAAAGGAAATTCTTTTGTAATCTTTTGTAAGGCTTAGTCATCTTAATCTGTACTGAGGAAATTAAAGCATGAGTTATCATGGATTCTGCCAGAAATAATATTTTTGTGATAATTATTTTTACCAAAATAATATAAAATTGTGGATATTTAAGGTCCGGCAGCACTGAGTTTGATGAAGAACTTTGATTCATTTTATCTATAGGTCAACAATTTGTTTTAAGTTGTGTATTACTTAAAATATTAAAATGTGTTACATTTATATTACGCGATAAATTAACGTGATACTGATAACGAAGACCGTGTGTTTTAAACACGTATCCGAAAATGTTAAATATAGGAGTAGGTATTAAAAGCTGTAGTATCAAGTGGCTTGATGATCACGAAAGCTAATTTAATAAATAAACTTCATTAATGTCAAAACATACGTTCTGTTTTCTTCTTCCATTCACTTCTATCATTCACTGTTTACTGCCTTGCTTGCCATATCCACATTTGCGCAATCCATCTATTTCATCTTTAGTCATCCTCTGCTCTTGTAGCCGCCAAGTTTCATCATCTTAACATTAGCTACATGCCATCTCAGTCGAAAGACGTCTATTGCTAGACATAAGCCTCCCTCAAAGCTCTCCACAACAACCGGTCCTTTGCTGACTGCATCCAACGCGACTTTCGCCAGTCTGTCGCTCCATCTTCCGGTATGTGGTCGCCACACGAGAACTTTTTTGGTCGTCTTCCCTGCGACCAATGTTTCCCGCCTACTGTTTAGTTAGTTAGTTCCTGTAGTTGTGTAGTGTAGTGTTAGTTCGTCTGCGGATCGCCTCATTCCTGTTTAATCACGCTGAGAAATTCTGAGCATAGCGCTTTCCATTGCACTTTGAATGACTTTAAGCGTTCTTAAAGGCCCATTGTAAGTGATTACGTCTCTGTGCCATAAGTCATCTGGTCATAAACTTCCATCTTGAGTCACTGCGGTATTTGAAACGCGAAAATATCACACAGCTTCCAGGCAAGTTGGATTCGACGATTAACCTCCTTTTCAAAGTTGAACCTGCCTAGCTGGATAGTGTGCCCTAGGAATACATTATCGTCAACAACTTCGAACGTAGAGTCTTCAATTTCACTGGAGGGGATGCGACATGGACGTTCGAGATAATTTTCGTCTTATCCCTGTTCATTTTAAGACCCACTCGTTTAGAAACCCTGTTAAGGCCATCGAGCAAACCATGGAAGGCCATCGGTCTTCCATGGTTTCTGCCATGACTACTATATCATTAGCAAATCGAAGGTAGGTGATATACTTGCCATTTTTGTTGATGCCAAATCCATTGTAAATTCTATTCCAGCTACATGTACGCATTTCCGCATAAAAAATAAAAAAAATAAAAGTATTTTATTTATTGTCAATGACTTGCACAAATTGAGTGTACTGGTTCTAGTTACCTTTAAAATGCGCTTTCCACGCCCATTATCTGACCATGACTTAAATGTTTCGCGTTCCATGATGTATAATTATGTATACGTATGGGAATTAACGCGATCATGTAATAGGTATTACATAATCATATCTGTGAATAGCCCGATGTCTCGAGCAGTTAGCACTGGCAGTGGGCGCAGTCTAACTCACTCAATTCAATTATACAAATTCAAGTGCTCGTAGCTATTACGTGATTGCGTTAATACCTGTATAAATGCTTTTTGTAAGAATATTTGTATTGGTATTTTCTCTATAAAAATATTAACGTGTTTACACACAACTAGTACTTATTTTTATTAATTTCTCCCATAAGTGCATTTGTTTAGAGTAGATTTACTTCAGCAATGAAAATCCGATGCCTTAGCCATTATGCGCTGAAGTAGATGGAGTTTTACAGGATTTCCATCCTAATTTACTATTAGATTAAGTTTTTTTTTGCTCTTTTTCATTGTCAACAATAGCTGGAATCGTCATAGTGTAGACTCTGTGACATTAAAGATACAACAAAAGTTTTGGATGCTGTGTGAGTATTTACTTACTTACATAATAGGAACACATTCACACAGCTTCGAAATCTTAACAATAAATAGATTTCGTATCGATATGTTATTTATTTGTCATATAATAATTGATTAGATTGCAGTTTTAATGGGCCAGTCGATCTTCTAGTTAGTGGTCTTGACAATTTGTTAGAACACATAATTCTGTGATGAGAATGATCATTTGTTCCGTGTCTCTGTGTAATTTATCTATAAATACGCATGTATTTATTATTCCCAATTAGGGTTAGTGTCAGGAGGTGGGCAGCCATCAAAGATGAGAAAAGTCAAACGATTTCAGAGGATGTCGGTTGAACAAGAAGAATGGACGCAGAAAACTCATTGTACTGACCCCAAATAAATAAGGGAAAGGGGTAGGAAGATGCTGATGACATCAGCAGTCTAGTTGCTCGGCTACAGGTTCGATCTAACTTGAGATCAGATAACCAATCGTGAAATTTCAAGCTGATGAAGTTTTATCGTTTACTTAAAACTTCTTTTTTTACGGTATACTCGTATTAGGGCAAACGAGCAGCCCAAATTTTGTTAAATGCTCGGGGATTATATCTAGGTTTTCTACGCTTTAAAATCATTGTCGATTTCATGATACTGCACAACATAAAACCCTAATATTTTTCACGACTTACCATACTTCGCTGGTTTTCCTATCGACATGAAATTAACTTCATTTTTAAACGATTACTAATGTCTTTCTAATTTTTTTAAGTTTTAGATTACACAGACATTCTAACGAGTAGCTACTAGCTTTTTCTGGAGGCATCGCTCACGTTTTTGGAGTTTTTTTGTTAATGAAAGCAAAAAAGGTAAAATTTGCCTATATATGATATTCTGTGCCCGGAGACATACTAGATAAAACTCATTAAAGCAAAAGTTTAAAGCATGTTATAATATCAAGAACCGGTTCGACAGTACATTTTTACTCTTCACTTGACATATTCATTTCCTATCAAAGTTAATTTGTTTAAAGTTTACAGACAGTTATAGAATTATCCTTTTGTACAAAATGTTCCAATTTTTATTACCATAAAACACAATTTAACTTATATGACAAATTATTTCATTTTTATCAATAATATTCTTTACTCTTTTCTAAATTTCTTTTTTTTTCTTTTTTTATTAATGTAGAGTGGCGAGATTAATTGATTTTAAAAATATAACCCATTCAATATTGCTTTTGGTTCATATTCTAGTCACATTATCTTTGGCTCGGTCATTACTTCTTTTCATATTACCCCTGATAGATCTACTGGTATTCGTAATGGATCTAAAATTTTAAGTACATAGCTTCTTTAATATTAAATAAAATCTTGAACTTACAGACAATGCCAGTATTGTATACATTTTAGATAAATATTATCTAAGTATATTGTGTCGTAGTTAGCACTTAATGATTATAAGAGAAATAATTTATTCGTTATCCAGAAAAACGCTGTTCCCTGGGTTAGTGTTTCTCCCGCCATCGTGACAGTAACTGTATTGACGGGGGCTAGCTGTCATTCTTAGTTCGCGAACTTTTATTCCATTGAATAAAACAATATGTCGTTAAGTAAATTCGATATTTGAAATAGTGATAGATAATTAGATTTTTACTCATTTTAGTTTTTTTTAATTATTTGATATTGAACTAATTTAAAATGGGTTTACGAGATTTTACTCAAAAACAGTGGTTGACGATAGTTGTAATTGCAATTGCTGACTTTTGTAACGCCATATGTGTAGCGCTACAGGCGCCATTTTATCCACTTGAGGTTTGTACTCTTTTTTAATTATATTTTTACTTTTTTCAATCTCAGTTTTTTTTATAGATATTTTTAAATTGTGTCGATGGTGCTTATTTCTGAATATATTTTTTGTGAAATGTTGAAGAGTAAAATTATATACATTTAAGCTGCAAGTTTACAAAAAGCGTTAAAATTGCAAACATCCTATTTTAATTTAATGTTATATAAAAAATCTTATTTCACGTAAAGCATTGAAATTAGGTATTTTTAACATTTTATTGCCAAGACTGAATATTTCTAATTATTTTATTTATTTCTTGACTTGCAATTTGTAAAATTTTATTTTTGTAAAAATAACTAGATACACATTTGTAGAGAAAAGTACAAAATAGTCGAATCATTAACAAACAATTAACTGAATTAACGGGGCTTATTAACTATAAAAGCTTTTCGCAAAAATATCACTAAACTTTTTCTCGTATTTTGTATGCGCCACGGTTTTTAAATTACGGTCTTTCTAGAATATTGGATGGTGGTAGTCCCTTACCATCAAATGGCCCGACCGTAAAAATATTTCACCTCCAAATGTTCAACCTTATTTATTATTATTTACCCTAAGCAAACATCTACAGGCAGGCATTTATGTCATTACACCAGAGCATCAATTCTGCTATTTTATGTCAACGTACAAGCCACTGTCAAAATTTCCGTATTCTACTAACATGAATTCAGTGTCAATAGACTGACGATTTAGTGACAATGCCTCAGGAATGGTGATATCAACAGTGCTATATCTTGCAAATTAAATATATCATTGCCTTTCAAATTTAAAATGTACCGTTACCAAACTATTACAAAGACATCGACGATATTTCTATTAGTAGCAGTTCAGTGACAAGTCATCTAGAGGCCATTGTTCTTACATGGTTAGTAGAATACAAAAAGTGCAAAACTATTTCACGACATTTTTTTCAGACATCTAACACAACGCCATCTAGTTTCGTTCTAAGCAGAGCTTATACTATGAAAACTAGATTGACTGATAGAATACTAATATCCCTTTTTTTTGTAAATACATAGATAAATATTATACATAGAAAACACCCAAACGCCGAATTAAACATTTCGTCGAAAGTCTATTAAAACAATATTAAAATAACAGAATTTGGGCCCAGTTATTATTCATTTTGCAGAATCAAAACTTACTTAAATACTTTCAACTTATAAGCTAACAAACTGCAACGTGTAAGCTTTTGCACGTAAAACCAAAAATCGTCACTACGCCATTCATTCCTTGACATAAATAATATAGGTTTTTAATTCATTAACACATGAGTTACGACATATCTAAAATATTTCGGTTTATATGATCGAATATTTAAAAAATTGTTTTAATACAAAAACATTTTCTAATTAGACATCCAGACTAAGCAAACTGAAATTAAAACAAAAAATTGCGAATCTATACTACCAAAAAGAAAAAAAGTTAAGAAAAATAATTCTCATGGCCGAGGTTGTCGACCTAAAATCCAAAAAAGTTATGTAACAAAACACATTTACAACACTTTTTTGCATTTTCAATGTGTTGTCAAGCTAGATATGCAAAATATATGCCCTTGACAATTTTTAAATATTGCGATCAAAAGCACTCTCTAAATTTCATCATTAAACGAAGGAGTTAACATGTTGTGTTAGATAAAGTATCAACTCATACTGGTTCACATATCTATTTAGTTTTATTTACTCGAGGTGTATTAGCTCAATAGCGCGCGTGCCCTATCGGAAGCACCCGCCGTAGATGGCCCGAGGTACGTCGGGGTACCAGGAATTGCCTTACAACTGGGTCCCCGGCTACTGGTACCCGAGACGGCATGCGGTTTTTAGTCGGTTCGAATCCGACATAGCCACCGGTGGGTGGTATCCGAGAGGGTTTCCGCACAGAAAAAAAAAGGGGTCTGAGGAATGTTTTTTCTTCTGGTTAATTTATTTCTTTAAAGGCAATTAGCAAAGGAAATGTAATAGTCTAATATGTTAGATGCTTTCTTTCCTTTCTTTTCAGGCCTTTTAACTCCAAACTAACTCAATATTGAGGATCTTAGTTCGATTCCTAGAACTAAGAAATTCTTTAAAGTTATGTCAAGCGTTGTTACATCGGAAATTATTTTTGCAGAAACTGAATTCTCGATATAAAATTAAGATTATTTCACAACTATTTCATAACTTGTTTGTCCAGTTAACCACTATTTCACCTACAGTAGACCAATAACCAGGTTATTCAGGATAAAATAAGGCTTCTAGAAGAATACATAACAAACGTGAATTCAGTAACAGAAATTCTAGTAGGTATTTAGTGATGTTCACATCTCTAAAATAAATAAGAGCGTAAATTGTTTTAGAAACTTCGTGGATTTTTAAGCCTTGTACTTTGATATGAAAATAACAACTAGTTTTTTAAAACGAGATCAACTATGAAGTGAATCATAAGAATTGAGAAATACTTATAATTAATTTCAATTTCAGGCGATAAGTTAGTATATTTTTTTTACAAAAAAACCTCGTGCAGCAACAACTTCTTGTGCAGAATAGTTTGGGCAAAAAGTTTAAATAACTTTGTCTTTGTCTTGAAAAAAGTCGTGTACGATTGTACAAAGGTTTATATCAGTTTGACATAATAATGTTATGCAAAATTAGTCTATAGGTTATTGTTATTTTTTTAATAATTAATTCTTGAGAGGCATTTGAAGTGACTTTGAAGATATTAATTTTTGAAAAACTTATTTCTTTAAAAAAGCTGGATAGTTTTAAGTATTTTAATTTGCCTACTCAGTTACACAGGACTACAGTTACAGACTAGTACGAGTTATGGAGCTCTTAAGTGACTAAATTTTGAACCAGATTACTTAGTATTATCTAATCTACCTCCTTTAAAGATTGTTTAGCTCTAAACTGAAATAGTTCTTTCATTTAAATACGTATCCATACTTTGAGTTGCATATCTTCTCCTAGCTTGATAGCTTGTCCTAGGAAATGCCAGGCATTTCTTTAAAGAATCGGCTTGCTTCCTTACAAGTCTTAAAAGATCCATGTGCGAAATAAATTCACTTATCAATTACCCAACAAGCTTAGGTTAATAACCTCGAGCGTACATGACATCAAGATGTCAAGCACATGGCTTGATGTTTTATAATATAATAAATATGGTCCTATACCTAAATTAATTGTAATATAGAAAAACATTTGCTCTAAACCTTAATCTAGAAATGAACTATTACAATAACCCTTTTCACATAAAAAAACAGAAATCAAAGTACATGATACAACTTGGTTACATCCAGTTATCACGCCGGTGTCTCGTCGATAACCTTAGAGCAAATAGTCTGCTCTTATCACTCACAATACAATCGCCAGGCGCTTTGTACGACTTGTTCTTATATAATGAATATATATATGACTGTTTTATAGGTTTTTTATTACTCATTAGCAGTTATGACTACTTCCCGCTGTACTTAAATTTTTCAACATTTGTTAAAAGGAGTCGGTATGCCTTAAAGAAAGAGTCATTAATTACATACATTGTATATGTTACTTGAACTTGTTTTCCTGAAGATCAGTTTACACTCCGTAAACATTAGCTTGAGAAGATATGGCTATGGGCCGTTGGACCTAGAACTTGAATTGGCTATTGTTGGAAATTCTAAACTCCAAAACAAAAAAAACACATTTTTTTTTTTAAACATATTCAGTTGTAATATGAACTTTTAAATTAAATTTGGCTTCTTAGTTGAAACTCAAAAATTCCAATTGGTCTAGTGGTTAGTGACCCTGAATGCTAAGCCGGAGATTATGGGTTCGATTCCCACCCAATACAAATAATTGTGTGAGGAAGATGTCTTTTGGCGATGGTGGTTACTTACAATCACATGACCCGTCTTCTTGTTTGCATAATAAAAAAAAGCAATGGCACGCCGGGAGTGCCGACAGAAGTGAAAATTGCAACAATTACGTGTAGTTTTTGAATAGTCAGGATATATTTTTTGAATCGTCAAGGTTTAGGTAACGGTAACAGTGTCGCGAGTTAAATGGTTTTTTGCCATCTCAAAAATGTGTTTTTTGTTAAACCACATAGTACATTATTTTGTTTTTAAAGAAATTTTACTTCAAAAACTTGTAAGACCTAAAGTGATATACCTGAGGTTTAAGTTAAGAGAAGCACTCGCAAACGCCTGGATATGTCGGAAAGACCCTGTAAATAGTTGTTAGATAGCTTAACGCTAGTCAGGTCAAATTAAACTAATCAGGTTTGACCAGATTTGTTTGTTCTTTCCTTTAAGTATTTTTTCGCAACTGATAAGTTTTAATTTTTGACAGAAATAAGTCATTATTTTAATTAAGATTGTTTTCAATCACTATCGTGATTTAACCCTCTATTTGACCGATATAATGATATTTACTAAATACTGTAGAGCATGCATGCCATATAAATAAACAAGAAGGCCCGCAAACAAATACTCTCTTATCTTTGGGCTTCATTCCAGAATGCAACAAGTGGACCGTATACTTGATTGATAATATAATTTCTACAAATATTAAAGGTCAATACGAAATAAACTAATAATTTAAGAGATTGCTGGATATAAATGGTATTTAACTTTTATATTATAAGGAACTGTAGCCAATTTGACCACACGTCCTTATTACCTCTCCAAGCGCAGAGGACTTTCCACACCCGAGACTTAGAATACCATCTTCATTTGTGACGTATTAAAATGATTACAGACTCAAGGAGGGTTGGCGTCAGACAGACGGGTAAATGAGACCAAACCAAAGTTTTTGTGATGTTTCCATCAATACTTTAAAATTCTCAAATTAATATTAATTTTGATCAAATTTATATAAACAGGAAAATTATATTAATTTTGACTAAAATTAACCATTGATATTTATCGGGTTGCAACTTAATTTGGAGCTAGTGAAAAGAGAAAATTGTTCTTCAATAACCAGGTTATAAAAATGGATGTCATATAGTCCGTGTGGTGACAGATTAAGAACACGAAGAGTTACCACCCTTATTCATCACCAATCAAAAGCCGACTAAGGGAGCAAACTACGCAGGACAACAGCACTGCAAAGAGAGGGAAAACTTGGAGCATACCCTATCCCAACCGGTCTGGCCAGCGTGGTACTGTAGGCCTAAAACCTCCTTTCTGAGAAAACATGCCCAGCAGTGGACTATAAAAAGCTGTTGATGATGATTGATGATGATACTATTATTGTCTGTCTCTCTTGCTCTTTCTTTTTAATACCCAACTTGTTTTTATCCAAATACAAATCATTTGTAGGATACTGTGATTATTCTATACACTCATCAATGTTGGTGAGAATTACTAGTGGCAGTATTTCTAAAGGCGATAGAGCTATTAAATACATGTATAATGCACCAGCAGTGAGGTATATTATAAACATTAATAAAAAACTCTTGAATCCTTTCAAACTCAATTTACACTGTTTATAAACAAGCAACCCATCTTACCGAGGATATTTCATCGCAATTATTTCTTCTCTGAGTTGTTTTTATTCTCTTTAAGTACTTTTCTAAAGGGTGACGCCTTACTTTGTATCGTAAAAATTATCGTGCTTGTTGATGATTGCTATGATATTTAGTAAAGGAAATGGACAGTGCTGTAATTTATGTAAATACACTTGATACCTGGTCAAATCTCAAAAGAAAGCGTTATGCTTGCTTTATTCTCTCAAGCCATATCATGCTTACATATTTATATAATACTAACTGATTTTGATTTTTTTGATATTCTGTGACTTTTGACTTTACAAACATACATGAAACGGACACAAAGAACACCCAGACTCAGAACAACAATTTGTGTTCTGAATCTGGGTGTTCTTTGTGATCACATAAAGTGTCGTCATATGTGGGTTTTGAAGTCGCCACGCCGCTTCTTACTGCGCTGAGTGTTGTAGGTTCGATTCCCAAATGGGACACCACTTTATGTGATCCACAAATTGTTGTTCTAAGTCTGGGTATTTTTGTGTCCGTTTCATATATGTTTGTATAGTCCCCGCGACACAGGATATATACTTATGCCTAATGCGGGAGTTGGCTTTTTTTAAAGAAAAAAAAATCTCGCCGTTTGTGACGTATACTCTTTGGTTCAAGATTTAATTTTTGAACTTGAAATTGATTTTATTACAAGAAGCGCCATCTTTGTTGGTGTAACAAACGATATTCTAGAACCTTAATACAAACATTAATATAGAATAGAATCTATATGAACGTTTAGTATGAAGTGTCAATAGTACTCGTACCAAGCAACTACTGCTATTTATATGCATACCTTCTTGGGTTTCAGGCTGAGAAAAAAGGATGCTCAGCAACCGAATATGGCCTCGTATTCGGTGTGTTCGAGCTGGTGGTATTCATCGTCAGTCCATTTTACGGAGCACACCTGAACAAGTTAGGGATGAAGCTGCTGTTCAATGGAGGGATCCTTACCACAGGCACGTGTGCTATATTATTCGGGTAAGTTTGTTTAATTTACAACTATTACATTTAAATAAATATATTAAATTAAAAAAAAAACAACGCGAAAAAAGTGAAGCGTTGCATCAAAACCGTAATATGACTAGTAATAAGAACCAAATAAACAATTGAATTTTAAAATCATTCGAATTTTGAAAAAAAGCTGTGTTTCCTGATTTTTTATCAACATAAAACAGACTCAATTTACCGACTTACCATATGGAGCATGGATGAAGTTCTTTAAAATATTTTTTTTTTCTAATTCCAGAATGTTAGATAAAGTGGAGGGCCATGTTCCGTTCATAACCCTGAGTTTTATCATCCGTATCATAGAGGCAATGGGCAACGCCGCCTTCCTTACCGCCTCCTTTGCCATAATTGCTAAGGAGTTTCCTAACAACGTGGCTACAATGTTTGTAAGTAACTTCATCCATTACTTTTATATACAAAAGCTATGGAAATTTATATTATATTATATATTACTAGCTGACCCGGCAAACGTTGTTTTGAAATATACATTATTTCTAGGAAATATTAAAAAAAAATTAGGGGTGGGTCGCCCTTGTTATTTAGGGGTATGAAAAATAGATGTTAGCCGATTCTCAGACCTACCCGATGTGCACACAAAATTTCATAAAAATCGGTCCAGCCGTTTCGGAGGAGTATGGTAACTAACATTGTGACACGAGAATTTTATATATAATCTTCTATTATATTATAAGTCAATATAATTGTCAACGGGCCTGTTAGTATTGTAGTTTGCAATCCTGCCTACTAGACTATAGGTAGTGGGTTCGATTCCCACCACGTATTTGGGTGTGATTTATTAAAATATCTATGTACTTAGTAAGTAAGTTTATTTGGTTACCAAAGCACAGGCTCTGTCTAGTTTTGCACCAGACTGCCGTGTGAGATGTGTCAAGTTATTATTGTTAGATTTGACGGGCCTATTGGTCGAGTGGTTAGTGCCCCTGACTGCTAAGCCGGAGGTCGTGGGTTCGACTCCCACCCAGGACAAATATTGTGTGATGAACATGATCATTTGTTCTGTGTCTGGGTGTAATTTATCTATAATATGTATGTATTTAAAAATATATAAGTATGTTTATCAGCAGTCTGGTCACCATAGCACAGGCTCTGCCTAGTTTGGGATCAGACAGCCGTGTATGAAATGTGTGAGGTATATTATTATTATAAGAAATGGTAATTACATACAATTATCTTAGAAGTAATAGCCCCTGTGCGTCTCAGTATTGCCAGAATTTGTTTTCTTAATATAAAAAACAACGCAGTCACAAATAATAAAACGCCTGTGCGAATAGAACTTCCACACGCATTAATGTGACATTGCGAGCAGCAGGACCAAGACCAAGGGAGCAAGTGCCTGGTGTGTTGAGATGCCAGGTAAGACTATCCGGTCGTTTAAAAAATGTCCTTAAAAGACTAAATCTAAGCCTCCTTAAAAGCGAAAAACTATTGAAATTATTGAATTGAACAATTTCGATATTTATTTAAAATAGAGTTAGAAATTACATTCTCTTTGTGTTTCTTTATTAAGTATTTTCAATAGAATCTTAAATGTTCTCATTTAATTGTTTTGTCTTTATTGAAATATTTCTTCTTTATAAATGATTTTTTTTAAAGATAGATATCGCTGTTCTGCCTACCTATGTATAGAATATATCGATTCATATCTTATAAGAAGGAAGGAAAACTTAATACAAACAATATACCAATAAGGTCACCAGATATATCACAGAATGTATGAATTGATCGACCGAACGAAATCCTGATTATTTTATTTTTATATACTTCATATATTTTCCACCACCCAACCTTTGGTTTCTAACGATACGTTTTCATTATAATTTAAATTAATAGATAAATAATGTGTCCGCTCTGCTTACTTTAATTTACTTCGTGCAATATTAGAAAAGATTAGTCTTGATCTTTAAACAAAAGGTCATAAAGAAGCACTAAATAACAATCCGTGAGATAAGATGTCATTGACATTTAAGCTTACTGATAAGTGTAGATTAATTGTAAAAATTGTGATAATTGTTAATTGTATTCACAATATCAAGTTGTTATTAATTAAAATTACCTTGTTTGAATGTTATTTGTAACTCTGACAGAAACATCAAAATTTCCATTAAGATAAGATTAGCTGAATAAGTTATATTCAAAGTTAAAATGGCTGTGGTGCAAGTATGCAACGTAAATACGCTACCTGAGATTTCTTTTTTTAAATTAAGAATAGACACACTAATATGTCCAACAGAGAGACAGAGATTTATTCAAAAATGGAAAACTTTTTTTTCCTTGCTTGCCTTTTGTTTGCTATCATGACCGAGTGGATTTTTGACCGTGACGATCTTTTCATTTTTACCTAATTATTACAGTAATTGCCTTAAGTATGTACTCAAATAATTAGCTTTGTAAACAGCCATAGTTACACAATTTATGTACTAACTAAACTGACAAAACCTTAAAAAACAGGAATCAAATAAATATTATTGTCTTCTTCTATTTCTTACATGTTCAAGACGATAATATGTCGGTGCTAGTACGTAGAAAGCCACAGACTAATGTTTAAACCTTACTGCTGTTTACCAATATTGCGAGTATGTCAATTGTTATATTTATTTAGCTAATTAAGTCTTCGAATGAATCATTACAAGGAACGCATTTTAACAAGCATGACTCTTGAATTTGAATAGCCTAAAATTTTTTTTTTTTTGAAAAGACAACTCCCGCATTAGGAATATATCCTGTGTCGCGGGGGACTTTATAAAAATACATGAAACGGGCACAAAGAACACCCCGATTCAGAACAACAATTTGTGGATCACACAAAGTATCGTCCCATGTGGGGATCGGACACACACTCAGCGTAGTAGTAAGCGGTGTGGCGACCGCTAAACCACTACGCCATCTGTGCAGTCAATATTGTATGAAATAAGGCAGTAATGTGTATGCTTTTTTCAGGCATCTCTTGAGACCTTTTTCGGTCTAGGACTAATAGTGGGCCCGACTCTAGGAGGCGCACTCTATGCAGCCGGAGGCTACACTTTACCTTTTGCAGTTCTCGGTTCTGCGTTATTTTGTGCTGCTGTCATGAGCTGCATCGTGCTGCCAAAATACAACGATGATGAGGATGTAAAACCGAGTGGACGTAAGTTATTTTCACTTTACCTTACTCTGAATACTGTGATCGATCGTCTTTTTTGCAAAATCAACTTTTTATTACTGGCTTACAAACAATAGAAAAAAAATTAGATACGAAAAGAGAAGAAAATGCACATACACTTTTAAGTACTAATAAAGAATTACCTTCTTTTAGCCACATTACTGTCGTTAATGAAGGTGCCTGGCGTAGTTTTATCAGCAATAAGTATTATGTCTACCAGCGCAAGTATTGGCTTCTTACAGGCGACGCTCGAACCGCATTTACGTCAAGTAAGTGTAGATTATTACTATGAAAACTAAGTCAGTATATTTACCCCAGCATTGATGCGTCAAAATAAGTAAAAGAAAAAAATTATAAGAGCGTGTTCAACTCATTGAACTCAACATTGAAGATTTGGTTTAAGGGCTCACAAGTCTTTTTGCATTTCATAATTATTAATCATCATGATACCAATCTTATGAGTGAACCATAAACTGGAGATAAAAATGCAGAGAAAGGCGCATCAAGTATAATAAAATAATATTTTCGTTGCCCTCAGTTTGAATTCTCCCCAATCATTCTCGGTATGATGTTCGTAATAAACGGCGCTGTGTACGCACTGTCAGCGCCTTGTTGGGGCTTCATCTGTGACCATCACTATATGAAGCCTAAATACGTTATCGCTTTGGGATGTGCATTCGTATCGGCAGGATTCCTGCTCATTGGACCTGCGCCCTTCTTTGATATGCATACGTAAGTCAAACATACCAGTAGGTAGCTAAAATGGAATTATTTCGCATGATACCAGTTCAATAATTTTTGTTTCTCTTACGTTAGGATGTATAATTTTATATTTTTCGAGGATTACTTCGTTGTCCTACGGTCTATATATGAATGTCCTTTTACCTTTGAAATAACATCAAACACTAACACAAGTCTACAGTTCCTTAAAGCTGTATCAAGCTTCTGAGATAACGCAAGCAAAGGATATGATGATTTATTGAATTCCCTTTGACATAGAATCATGAAATTGGACGAGACTACTAATGCATCATAGCACAAACTCAATTCAATTCAATTCATTTATTTGCTAAAAAGTGGTAATACATAGGTGATAAATATATTTAAAACATTCATCTAACATATTTTTAGTCCTTAAAGTCCTTAATTTGTCGATAAAAAGTTTTTAGGATCACAAATTTATGTTTTGAGGTTGGAACATTAACTGTTTTGAATATTTTTAACGGCAAAGTTATATTTGTGTTCCTAATATTTTATTCGAAAATTTTTCGAACTTCCCGAGATTGCACGAACTATCTATATAAAAGTTTGTTTAGATCTCTCGGTGCGCAAGAAACATTTTTATTCATACACACCACAAACACACACACAAACAGTGGTCGCTTAATACACATCTGTCTACATGCCTTTGTGGGCAATTGTATGAGCGTAAGTAGTGTATATAATTCCTCCAAATACCAGTACCAAAATACCAAATACCAGAAAATTATATAAATGTATTATTCTTACAGGATCCCGTGGGTGACAGTCGTCGGATTAGTGCTCCACGGACTTGGCATGGGCAGTCAACTAGTTGCGTCCTTTACTGATGCTCTCAGTACTGCTATGTAAGCACTGCTTTTTTGTATTTATTCTAATGAGGTAATAATTAAGTAAATGCCTAATAATAATATGTAACTTTCAAGTTTGCTATCGTTTATAATCTTGTGGTTGTCATATCGAGTTCTTACTTTGTCTTACGTCACAAATTTAGTAAATTTAATCCTGGTGTCAATAAATGGTATTTACATTCTATGAGTTAAGTAACCCTTATCATAGAAATTTGCAGAATGAAAAAACTGATGACTCCTGGCTCTGTTCTTTAATATTTTATCGCATGTAGATAACAGATGTGTCATAAATACATAAAAAGGAAGTAATTTCAACTAAAGGCATAGTTATTTTGGTCGGTTTGTTCAGTTATGTGTGTGTTGTCTATTAGTAGGAAAATATTTCTGTATATTATAAATAACATGGTTGTTTTTCGCCTTTTCTGTTTACGCCTATAGGGACCTATGAGATTTTATACGTCGAATAGCCTAAATCTAGCAAAGGCGGTTCGAAAATCACAACCCAAAATATTGTTCTTTCCCTCAGTGCCAGCGGACTTCCTAACTCAATAGAAACCTATGGTCTAGTCTCTGGTATGTGGACGTCTACATTCGCATTGGGTGCCTTCATCGGGCCCACAGTATCTGGTCTCCTATTTGATTCCGTCGGATTCCGGAGCTCCACGCTATTTATATTTATTTTGCATATTTTTGTGGTGAGTACTAATATTGGTGTACCTTACATGTTAGAACCTATTCGTTGGGTGATAGATTAAGAATACGGAGTGTCACCACTCCTATTAATCCCATTGGTGTCGTGAAAGTGGACTGAAGGAGCAAACTATGCAGGACAACAGCACTGCAAAGAGAAGGAAAACCTGACATAAACTCTATACCAATCCGTCTGTCCAGCATGGTATGATAAGCCTGAACCTCCTCAGAAAAAGAATTTTCTAAATAGATTAGGCCTTTTTGGCACTTTATCTTCTAATTACTTGTAACTTAAAAGTCTTCCGTTTCCACAGGCTCTGCTCATGATTCTATTCACTTGTACATTTGATCGTACGTACAAGATGGACGTGTCAGTGTCTGCCGGCGATCTGTTGCAGATTGACGGGACCCTGGACGAATCTGTTCTTATCGGTGACAAGTTCCCACCGCCCAGGACGAGGGAAAAGAGGTAAGCATTTATTTGTAAAACTAACACAAAAGTCAGACCACCGTTAATGTTGAAAACCCTTCTCTTTTTTTATATCTGCCTTAAAAAAACATAATCAATTTTCTCAAAAAAAAACAGCTGTACAATTATTGATGCTTTAAGGATTCTTTGATTAACTATTGATTGCCATATTTTTCATATATAAATAATCATGATTTAACAAGTTTAATAAAAATTTGTTAGTTTAAATATTAATTTTATAAAAATGTTTAGTTTTACTAAACTTACTATCTGTATTTATAAAATAAATATATTTTACTTTTGTTTAAAATTCATCAATCATCATCATCATCAACAGCCTTTAATAGTCCACTGCTGGACATAGGGCTCCCCTTTAGAAAGGAGATTTTGGCCTACTATACTGTTTAAAACTGTTACTACTACTGTTTAAAATTAAGAATGCCAATCACTAATAGGGTGCGAACAATAGTACAGCTTACCCTACTTGAGATTTAGAATAGTTATCATATATTTAGTTAACCTGTGGACGTTTTTAAACCTATTAATCGAAAACGTCTTTGATAAAAATTATACTGTACAAAAAGTAATTAAAATCCATTTACAATAGGAGAGCGTAATATAAAAATAAGTGAAATGCACATTGAATAGTATACTGTTTTCATGTGTGTTCTGTGTGAATTTGGTTTGCGTTTATTTCGTCGTATAGGTTGACAAACGAACAGATGGGACATCTGAAGATAAGTGACTACTGACAGTGACTAAGGTTACCGGAGAACAACCCCAGGAAAAGAAAGAGGGGGTTTGGTCGCTGCCGTGTCCGACAGGGTCCACTGTAAAACCCAATGTAACATCTCTGTAACGTAAACGTAACGTGTAAATCAAGGCCCATTTATGCAGAAGCATGGCTCACCCAGCATTAATTATACTCTATATATAAAATAACCTACAATTCTTGTCCTTTCAACAGCCGTCGCTACGGCATCAGCGTGGAGAAGTCTCGCCCACCCGCAATGAACAGCCTCATAGCTTGCTCCAGCTACAAGAATAGAGGATCACCGTGGAGCCAGCGAACTCCTAAATACAGACCTACTTATGGATCCCTCGATACCAGATATGTTGGTGCATATAACATGAAGGGTGGTGGCAGAAGTTAAGATGGCTAAAGAATATCCTAGCAATATAGTTTAGGTTAAATGTACACTATGGACTCCTGAAAGAAAAACAAACTGACACATTCTGATATTACTGGTTCTTTCTTACAGATTTGTGAATTTTGGTTGGTTGGTTGGTTAAAATAATGTCATTTAAATTTGTCTAAACATTATATGAAAAGTTATGTTTGAGTTTTGTAGTAAATAGCATTTGTTATTCAGCATGCTTTTATGTAAAAAAAATCTGTGGATTAAATTCGACATCCGAATTTGTGTATATGTATATATGTAGATGCATTTTAACTAAGCAAGTCTAAAATTATTTCAGCTTTTTTATTTTAATGATACTCCAAAGTTTTGGTTGTGTGAAATATTTCCTTACACTTTCCTGCAATCTGAGGCGGGGATTCCGTGAAAGGGGACGGAAAAGTGTAACAGTGAGTCAGGGAAGCATCTCTACTTGATTTAACTTAGAGTGGGCTGTTAGATGGTAGGTGAGATTTCGGATGTTACACATCGAGTGCTATCGCTGTAAGGTTCACTCTTTTTTAAATAAGAGTTCTATAAAGCGTGAATTTTACAAATACATCATACTCTATTGCATAAAAAAGTTAAGTAAAACCAAATAAGTCGGTTTGGAAAATAGCTCCCATCCGACTCCATTTGAGGATACTGTAATAATTGGTGCTTACTCAACTTGTAAAATATATGAATATTGTGAAGTAAACAAGACTTTTACCCCAAAAAATTCTTGAATACAGAAATACTTGAACAAACCTTCTTTCCGTCCTTATCCAGGCATAATTTTGCATTTTTAATTCAACGAAAGTCAATTGTTTATATTTAGACATAGTTTTAGAATAAATATGTAATGAAATCCAAATAATTATAACAATATTAATGTTAAGCAATAGTTTAAATTTGTAAATATACTGTGTATACTATTTACAATAATTTAAATAAAACATATCTAAGTCATAGCACTGTTATCATTAATACCTATATTACTTATCTGTGTATATAAAGACCTGTTATAATTATAGCTGTATCAAAATTATAATCATAATAACCTCATACATCTCACGCTCAGCCGTCTGATCCCAAACTAGGCAGAGCCTATACTATGGTAACCATGCGACACAGACCAAATGATCCTACTCATCACACAATTATTTGTCCTGGGTGGGAATCGCACCCACGATCTCCGGCTTAGCAGTCATCAATCATATTTCAGTCCTTCTCTAAAATGTGTTTGGGGTGATTACTAAAAGTTATGACGGTTTTCTTTTAATTCCTCCAATCCAATCCTCCTAGCGAATGTAATCGCTTCCATGTGGCAGAAAAAAAAGACGATAAATTACAGTAATTAAAACGCATGGAGTGCAGTAGCTAGGATTAAGGAAATCGAAAGCTTCGAATGTACGTAGTTTTTCGATTCATCGAAGGGCGACCTCAAAATAAGGACAAGGCTTCCCTCAAGATATGGTCATCACTGCTTGGTCGGAAAACCACAGTGAAAACACTTTGTGACTATCAATGGCTCCTTTATATTCCGTTCATGGGTTTGCACTCAATCTTTTTTTTTTTGTAAATGCTACACAATCATAAATAAGGATCATGATATACATATGTTAGTTGCCAAATAATTACATGTAATAATATTAATTAATATTTTACAAAGCAAACAAGATTTATCATATTATATATACACACATACATTTATTATATTATATATGTTTATTTAAATACTAGTTTTTATAAAATCTTTATGAGTGTTCGTATTGTATTCAATAATTTATCCATATAAATATTTGTGGTTGTTCTACGCGCGTTATTGTCAAGTCCAATTAGCTTTTAGGAACATATGAAATGACCTGTAGTCAGATTAGTTAAGTGTATTACTTTTATTGTTTTGTTTGACGTTGAAAAAATGATAAGAAACTGAAATATAACTTTAAATTAATTAATATATAACATAGTTCCATGAAGACTACTAACTCACGAATTTTTCGTTTAAAATTGGGAACATCTTGTTACCTTTTAAACCTCTTTTTTATAAACAGGTTCCCGCCACAGTAAACAATAATGATGACGCATCGCTGCAAAACTTCCCTAAAATTAAAAAAATAAAGATTAAACGCTTCTCCATAGGATGACGTCACTCGCTTAGTCATGTTTCCTAAAGACAGACGGTTCGTGAACTGCAGGATCTGACTGATAAATTTAAAATTAGAAATAGCTTACTCAGTCTAGTTTTGATTTAAATTAGTTATTTCCGGCAGACGAAACATACAACCTATAGATAACAAATTTCGGCCAGTTTTAGCTACTAGTACCCAAATTGTACTTCTGTTTATGAATACGGTCATCAAAGTTTAAATATACTGACGCGCGCCAATATAGACGCGACCCTAATCACTGTATCTAAAAGCACTTTTTACAGTGACTTTTTATCGATAAAATCGATTAGATTTCGCGATAATGATGTGGATGTCATCAATCCGCTTTAACGGTTAAAAGCAGCGCAACGTAGACTTGAAGCTAGCAAGCGAGTTATAATTACTAAGCAGGAGACATATTTATTATGTATTTTGTACCATAACTTTTCTTCTTCGTATCAACGGGTGAAAATTCCTAAATCTTGTCCGCCCAAAAAGCCGCCACTACCACAGCATTGTGCGTTTCTCTCCACAGCTACTCTACGGTGCATCTGGAGGGACACGTTCATGTTTGCAGCTGGTCGATGTATTCCAATTTTGCCAAATTGCTCTTGAAACAACCAACGAGTCGGTCCAGGTGGCAGGTTTTGATTATGGTATTTGTACAGAAACCCTAGAGATTATATTCAGCCTGTTATAAATATTTACGTATAAGTATCGACCAGGTTGCACTGGCCGTGGTCATGGGCTCATAGTGCGAGCTGGTCACGTCAAGCAATTGAAAGGTATATAACGCGATCGCGTTAATTCCGTATTTGCACATAATTATATATCATACTAGCTGAGACCCGCGGTGTTACCCGCGTTTGTTGTTATAACCGCGGGCAACGCCGCGGGGAGAAGCTAGTCTAAAAAAAGTAGCCTAAGTTACTCCTTATGTCATCAGCTGTTCCAGAGATTACCCGGAACAAACAGACAGACAGACAAAATTTGTAAAAAATGTGATTTTGGCATATGTACCGTGTAAACATACATATAATGCATTTAGTAAAAAGCGGTTATTTTAATATTACAAACAGACACTCCAATTTTATTTATTTGTATAGATAATGTGAAAGTTTAAAAGACAAGTTGTTGTTTTGCGTGCGCTTTTATGCATGTGACATAATAATGATAAAAGAAGTGATAGGCTTGGCTTTCCTTGACCGCAACTTATAACTTTAATAATGACTAACATATGTGAAATACATAAAGCACAGGCGGACTTGTTACATTTGCTTGTATACCATAGAGAGAATTGACCTTAGAGAAGATCTAACCCACATCGCTCAGGGCAAAGACAGATTACGATTATTAGTTAAAGAGTAAAACCTTTTATATTAGATTCAAATCAAAACCTCATTAATCTTTAATTCAAAGAGAATAACCTTTGTTCTTGACTAACAATATTTTACTTCTAGCATTAAGATAATGTACCAAGGCCAACGGTGAAATATACATACATTACATTTAACTCTTTATCGGTGCAGTTGCCTAATATTATGGTTTCACAATATTACTCGACGTTCAACAATGTTTATGTATATTCTTATACGAGACAATGCAGGTCGCTCATTACAACTATTCTTGTTAATCTAGCAACAATTGGCTTAAACGCTTTCTTGTGTAACAACAGTTGAGTGACAACAATAAAGATCAAAAGTAATTTAAATATAGAATGTGACTACTTTGGCCTTAAGATTAGCATTGTCCTGTAAAAACTATAGAACGTAAATCTATGCTTCAGAGTTCGTCTCTTTTAGGCAGGTGGGAATAATACGATACGAGTTAAAGAATGGTCCATAGGTTCGTGAGTTCGACCATGTGTAATTTTTTTTTGGTCGTGGGTATTTAACAGTTCATTCAAACATAATGATGATGTTATCAAACCATTCACTTTTAATACTAATATGACGAATATAGCAGGAAAATATTTTTTATTATTTATTATATCTTCATTGTACACACTTAAAAGCTAACAAAAATATGAGTTATAAATATATAGACATAACAATCGGCGGTCTTATCGCTCACAGCGATCTCTTACGTCTGTAACCAACACTGTAAAGTAAATCAAACACGTTAAAATAAAACTGGTCCACAATTTTTATATTATTTTATGGCCCATGTAGAATAAATAATTTGTTACAAAAATAAATGTCTACAGGAACTATAAAATGATCTGAAAACCTGCTAAATATTTACAAACTATGGACCATTCCTAATTTGTAAAGTTATTGCTTCTTTTTTGAAAAAATAATAGTTTGTAACGCTTCACCGTGTTCAGGTTGTGTACTTTTGCCAAATTGCTACTAAAAAAGTAAAAAAAGTCACTTTATGTACTATGTTTTTTTTTACATAACTAGAATTTAATACGCTAATTTGTAAGTTTCAATAATTTTGTTTGATTAGCTACAATATCACAATATGTGAGAAAATGATTATCACACAACGACGTGACAATTTTATAGTATACAGACGTCTTCAATATACATATGACCTTGTCATAAGAGGACGACTTTAAATTTGCATTTTAATTAGGTTAATAGTGTGATAAATAGATTTAAAAAATGTAAATTTAAATAAAATAAGATTTGCGTATGTTGACCATAACGAGTATCTTACGTGGGAGAGCCATGCTTCGGCATACGTGGGGCTGTCTCGACCGGAGTGATACTACAGCTTTACTGAGGACCGAGCAGTATTGCCAACAGTTAAATGAACTCTCCACCAGATTCAACATCTAAAACCACCAGAAATCCACTAACGAAAAACGACTCTACTCTATTAGGCACTAGATTTTTC